GGGGCTCTGGGTGCAGCTGTTCCCTCCCAACCGTGCGCACCAGAAGCTCTGACCAAATTTTCCCGTATATCCCATCAACTCTGTGAAATTTCACCCTGTCTTGCAGAGGTCTCCAAAGGAGTCCCTTTGGGAAGCAGGACACAGTGAGGAGCACACTGGCCAAGCTTCTTTTGCTGCCAGCAGAGCGTGACCCCAGGCGTTACAGCCCAGGCGATGGAAGGTGCCTCTCTCTGAGCAGGGGAAGCCACGACAGAGGCAGATTGCCAAATTGGGATCCCCAGGCAGGGGGAGGAGTCCTCAGCTCCCCTCTCCTGGAGCACAGAGAGACCTCCCTCTTTGGGAGGCAGCCGGGCAGCAGATGGCCAGGCTGCTGCGCTGAGCTGTCAGGGGGGTATCATTTCTCTGACTGTTCTGGACGCTGATACCCATGTTGGAGAGGAGCCCCTCCTTCAACTTGCTCCATCTTCTTTATGCCCTGATTTTTTTGCAGCTGCTACTGAAGATCACAGGCAACTTGAGCTGCAGTCTTGCTGGTACTCTTGTGGGTTGCCTGGTGCTGTTCCTCCCCTTCGACACGGATGGGCTATGTTGCATCCTTCCCTGTGCCCCAGATTTCCTCTTCTATATGCAGAGGTCTGCAACATCCAATTAAAACTTTCAACCACAGGTGTGATTCAGCTTTGATCTCCTTTCCAATCTTTGTCAAAAAATGATAGGGACCCCTGACAACGACCATGTGGTTTCAGAGTGCAGCCAGGGATGAGGCTAAGAACTGCACTGGGCTCACAAAAAATCACCTGCATCCGTGTGGAATATATGACATAGATATGCATGTACTATTGCACCACTACAGCTGTCCAAATTGCTTTGCTCATCTGGGGGCAACTGCAAAATACAGATGTTTTGACAAGTGAGGGAAACCTTGTTTTCTGAAATATTCATGGTGTTAGTGAAGTTGGGATGGGGAGAAGACAGTGGGAAGGATGAAGTTTTACAGTTAGAGAGTACTCTGAGGTACCTTTTCTGGTCTTTTGTGGTTGATAATAAGCTAATTTGGTGTTCAGATCCAGGCTGGATGAGGCCTTGAGCATCCTGGTCTAGTGGGGAGGTGTCCCTGCCCATGGCAGGGAGTTGTGACTAGATGATCTGTAAGGTCCATTCCAACCCCTAAAATTCTATGATTCTAGTGATAGTACTTAATACTTTTCCCTGGTTAAGGAACTGTATGGAAGATGCTCATGCTGTATGCCAGGAAGTGGTTGAGATGTGACAATCGTGGCCCATGGTCTTACAGTTTTTTATGCATTGTGTCTAGACTCACAATGTACCATCAGAGGAGAGTTGTTTTTCCTTTGGGTATGTGCCGTGAGACAGAATGTGTCCATGTACCAATTCATCCTCCTTGGGAATGCTCCAGTTTGTAGAGAAAGGACATTACTGACCTAATACTGCTTCTGTTGATTGACTATTTTTACAAGTCTCAGTGATGCTGATAACCTCTGGAGAAGAGATACATCTATCTCCTAAGCTCAGTGATCGCCTTCCTGCCTTCTTCCCACCTACAGAAGGGGTTTTGGAAGTTCTCAGCTGCAGCAGAGATTCTGTAGGGTTTGGCATACCTGCAAGTGAATCACTGTCCTCCTAGTGAGCTTGAAACAAGGGTATTTAACAGTCTGTATTCAGGTCATTCCATTCCTGGACCCTGTGGGTCTGATTCTTGGTTTGTAAATTTACAGATAATTCTAAGCAGTTAGTCCTGAGCATTTCTCCTTTGCACTGGGCAGGGTTCTCACAGATTGCTGTGCTCCATGCAGATTTATCTTCTCCCAGCCAAGGAGGCTGTTTCAGAAACTTTTTCAAAAGGAAATCTAATATAGGCAGGCTGAGTGAAACTAACTGTGGGTGTGGCAGACAGGTTGAAGACGAACGCCCCACATCTGTCTGGAAAAAAGAGGTCGGTTCCCATTAAGAGGGAAAATATAAATTGGGTAAGATTGAGAGTGATTGGGAATGCCTTGAGACATCTGTTTCCCATCTCTGGTTCTCATTTCTATCCTTATTCAAAGCGACAAATGCACAGTAGCTGTCTTTGAAAATTGATGGGGGTAGGAGCTCAAAAGTGCTCTTAAGAACAGAGCTTGTAATGCATTGAGCACTGGATGGCGGAAATTTCTAGTGTTAGCCACTTATGTGAAAGTCAAACTCAAACCAAATTGGTTAAGTCAACAGAGCCAGTCCCTAGGGGGAAAGAGAGTTACATAGGCAAAGATTTCAGGTGATCTTCTGAAACTGAGGGGCTTCCTGCATCAGTTTTCTTTGAGAGCAGCCAAAATGATAAAGCAAGGTAAGTGAACTCATGCAAACAGTACAGGTATCTGTCTGATTCATGCCTTTCCCCCTTTCCTTTAGGTAGAAAAAGAAGTTGGCCAGAAAAAAGTAGGAGCAGATAAAACCCTGTTACTTTTGTGGCTTCTTCCTGGCAATTCTTGCCACCCAGTAGTTACTCAGGATCCTAGGGAAACTGCTTTTTCAGTCAGTTATACTGGAAATAGCAGAACCTCTGTTTGATGAAACAATCTTCTGCCTTGGGCTCTGAGTTGAAGAACTGAATTTCTGGGGGTGAAACTCAAATTCTCTCTGAGAGTTTACAGTTATTTCCCTTCTGCAACCACCTAAGCATCCAAATACAGGTGTTGCTTTCCTGCTTTCAGGAAAAGATGTTATCACCACTATTTCTGTTCTGGAAGCTAGTCAAAGCTGTCTTTGTTTGTTTGTTTTGTTTTAATCCAATGGCTTGGGTAAATACCTAACATTTAAGATGTGTGATCAAATAGCACTCTTAAAAAGTCTATAAAGGGAATCTATTATTGCCTTCCTTGCCAAGTCAAAGTCCTTGCTGGAAGTTGAGTATATGAGGAAGACACTGTGGGAATGCAGAGCTGCTTCAGATAGGTGTACTGTGTACTGAATATTTCACTTTAAAAAAAGGAAAGTTGCTGTAGTTTTTTCCCTAAAATTACTACTTGAGGTAGCACATGTATCATTTCATAAAATGCCAGTCCTCCCTTACTGACTGAATTATGTCAGCATAGGGAACTGTTTCAAGTTGCACTTGTTTGATTACTTACACTAGTGGGACAAAACTATGATACTTGGAAATATCGATGCTTTGCTTGTGTTATGTAGAAAAGAGCAAACTCCAGGTTGCAGAAGGTACTAGATCCAGGTACATTCAAGCATCTGTTGTTAAACACAACCAGAGGGCTGGTAACAGTCATCTGGTGAGGGGAGATATCTCTGGGAGGTCAGCTTGTGTTTGACGTCAGAAAGAAGCAGGGTGGTGAGGAGTGATCTGCAGGGTGGTAGCATCAACTGCTCTCTACTCAAGGAGGAAGGGAAGCACTGCCAGGTGGACGTGGCTTTAAGGCATCTGTTCCTTCATGCTTGCAGTCACTGTCCAGTCATGGTCCTTGCAAAGAAGTCTTTACCAAACCTGTGAAGACTCCTGTCTAATAGCTAACTTCTTGTTGACTTTTAATGATCTTTCTTCAGTTGGATCACACTCCTCTATCTCTTTGTTAAAAAATAATAGCTTTTGTAGAAGTTAGCAATTTCTCAGGCAAATGTAATTCTGTAGTGCTGGCGCTGTTCCATTAATCATATAGAGTAATCTGCTTGTGCCAAAAACCTATCAAGTTGAGCTGCCTTTTTGAGAGCTGGTGGGAATGTGTACCCAGTGGTGTTCTTGCTGGCATATGGACTTCCCGTGTGTGCAAGAATGGCTGGGGCATAGGGGGGTCCCCCTTTGCTGTGCTCAGGGTACACAACTCGAGCAGGCTGAGCCAGCCTGGCAAGTCTCAGGACTCAAAGTGACATGGACAGATCTTCAGAAAGTTTTCTATTTAGGGACACATGGCCTCACCAGCCCTTTTTCATTCCCTCCCATGAAATTTTCCACATTCAGAATAAAGGCTTGAGTCTCATTAAAACATAGACAGGAGTTCTTCTAGCCTTAAGAAGCTCCATCAGTAGTCGTGTGCATGTGAGGTGGGGGGACATTTACCCTCAGTGCCAGATGAGGGTAAGAAATGTCTGCTTCCTTGGGTTATATGATGAACTGCTGGGAATGAAAGTGAGACTTAATGTGGCCCAGCTAGGAAATGAGAAAGATCATTTTAGTGGCAATGTTTATGGAGAGCTTGAGTGTTCAGCTTGATCATCTGGGAGACTACAGAAGAGAGAACCCTCCGGGCTGAGCCCTGTTTGGGAGGTACACTCGTGTTAGGGATGAGCATTCTTGTGTGTCAGGCTCCAAGCTACACGTGTTAAGTGAGCTGTGCTGATGTCCTGCCAGAGCCACGGATGGAGGAACAGGCAGTGGCAAGCACCTTTGGGGATGGAGGGAGAGGAGAATAGGGGCCATAACAGGAGTACAAGAAACATGCAGCAGCACAGTGGGGAGAAGGTGATAAGCTGTGGAAAAGTCTTACGATACTGAACCAGGACATGGAAAACTACATTAAAGGCAGAGAGGGGAGCAGGGCTTGGCAACAACAGATGTAAGGGGCAAATGGAAAGCTGAAGAAGGGGGTCTCCACATCAAATGGGAAGACGTGGAAGGGGATCAGACTCATAAGCTTTGTTGCATCCTATTTTAGTGAAGGGTGGATGTTGATGCTAGCACAAGGCACTGCCCATTCAGATAGAAAGGGATGAGGCTGAGTGGCCATCATGTTAAGCTCTTTCTTTCAACTTAGAAAGAAGTAACAGTAATGCAGCGTTCTATGAGCTGTCTGTGTATAACGTGAAATCCCATGGAGATTGCTGTGTTTTGGTAACATGAGTTACAGAGCTGCCCCCAGCCATAGCTCTCATGTGGCGTGGTTTTCCTTCAGGTGCTAGCTGTGTCCGTGTTGTGTTTATTCAAGTTGCTTGGTGCACCAGGTGTTTCTGGCATGGCAAACTACAGTAAGTGTCTGGGACTTTTTCTCCTGGGTTAGATCCCAGACGTTTCACAGCTACCTGGAGGACATCATCAACTACCGCTGGGAGCTGGAGGAAGGGAAACCCAACCCCTTGCGGGAGTCCACCTTCCAGGAGCTGCCCCTGCGCACGCGGGTGGAGATCCTGCACCGCCTCTGCGACTACCGCCTCGACGCAGATGATGTCTTCGACCTCCTCAAGGTGCTTTGGGGAGCAGGGATGTGGGAAAGTGTGGCTGCAGGAGCTGGCCAGATGAGTGAATCTTCCTGGGAAGAGAAGGGTCGATGCTATTAAGTGTATTTTAAGGCCAGGTAATCAGTGGAGATAAAGTGGGTTGGCAGTTCCCCATCTCCTCCTCTGCTTTGCGGAGGACCCAAGGCAAGTGCTCAGGACCACTCTTGGGCCCTCGTCCTGCACGGATGTATTCGTAACACGGGAGTCGCTAAGTAAATTGGCTTCGTTGGCTACTCTTCCTGTGAAGAGTGAATTTGGAGATGCTCCAATGGTAATGGCAGGGCTGTGAGAGCTGCGAATGCCTTGCTGAGGGATGTTGTGAGATGAAAGGATGGGGCTGGAGTATACTGGGGGAGCTGGGGGGAGGGTAGTGGCGGGGAAGGGGGGAGGGAGCTTCGCAGGGCTGTGCGTGACTGTCGCCAGCACTAATTAGACCCTCTCTGTCAGGAGCACCAGAGATGAAATGTTAAAATGAGAGAGGCCATTCAAATTAGAGATGCCAATCTAAATCCCTCCCTGGACAGAGAGCGAACGTTGCCTTCCCCCTGGAGTCACATTTTCCCAGCTCGGCCGGGAGGAGCAGCTGTACTGCTGCTGTGGCATGGTGGGAGGGAAGGAGGGAGGGAGGTGTGTGCAGAGAGGGGTGTCATCATGTTTTGTGTGACAATGTGGCCGCTTTTCAACTTGTCTCCGTCTGGCGCAGGGTTTGGACGCCGACAGCCTCCGCGTGGAGCCGCTGGGCGAGGACAGCAGCGGTGCCCTGTACTGGTACTTCTATGGCACGCGGATGTACAAGGAGGACCCGGCGCAGGCGAAGACCAACGGCGA